GCAGCACCCTTCCCGCTCTGCCCGGTCCCCGCCACGCACGAAACGCCACCGAGCCCGATCCTGGTGACACCCGCACGGCAACGGGGCACCGCGGCCGGGCCCTCCCGGGGCTGCCAGGGCCCACCCGGGCCTGCCCCAGCACCCAGGGGCCGCCACGGCCTTCCCCCGCCCCCCGGGCCCCTCCCCCCGCCCAATCGCAGCGGGGCCCGCTCCGCGTGGCGGGAGCGCGCAGGCCCGGCGCGCCGCCGCTGCCATGGCAACGCCGGGGGCGCGCGGCCGGGGCTCCGTGCTGGCTCCGTCTCGGAATTGCAGGATCCAGCGGGCTGGAAAACACCGCTGAGAGCACCGAGCCCAGCCCGCCAGCGGACACCGCCGGGCGGAGCAGACCGGGGCACCTCGGAGAGCCTTCCCTTAAACACCTCCGGGACTCCGGGCAGAGCTCCCCCAAATGCCCCAGGTAGTGCCGGACAGGCGGTGTGCCCTGGCAGCCGTGCCGCGGGGTCACTGCCTGCGCTCCGGCAGGAGAAGAGCCCGTCCGGGCTGCCGGAGGGCGAGGGCTGCAGCCCGGGCTGGGAGCGGGATGTCACCCGGCTCAGCGACACTGCCAGCGGCTCCGGGTGACAGACCCTCCTCTGCTCACAGCAGGAGTGTGTCCAGAGACCCCGTGTGCTCCCTCCAGCAAAGAGAGCAGCTCTCGCCCTCCTTCCAGGGGGTCGCTCCTTCCAGGCAGCAAAGGAACAGGGCAAATGGCCCAAAACCCCAAGGCTTGTTCCCCATTTGCACTCGGGGGTTACCCAGCCCAGGCACAGAAAGGGCAGGGACTGTCCTGTGGCACTCAGAGGTGTCCCGAGTTCTGGCTACAAGGTGGTCCTCATGCCCAGAATGCTTTAGGGTTTTGATTTTACATGCTCTTTTCTTGGCACTGCCCTAAGCATTTTTCTTTCTTGTTTTGTTTGCCTGTTTTATCTTGCACTGTAAAGGCTCAAAGGAGTAGAAACACTATAGATGACAATCTTTCTTTTGGCGATTATTGTCTGAGATATTCCATGTTTCATCAGCTAAGTCAAGTATTCTTGGAAAATTCTCTTACCTTGCACTGTTTTTCATCTTTCCAATCAGAGACCATGGTATCCCAATTCCCAAATTCTTGTATCCCAATCCAGCTGCCTGCACACTATCACCTACAGACAAAACACACCTCTTTTGCCTCGGTATTTCTTGCATAAATGTGATGTTCTGGTTTGTGTACCTTGTGCAGAACATCCCCTTGTTTGCCCACCGTTGCTTTCTCTCTCATTTCTTCCCTATATTAGTCAGCTTTTCAAAACTCATCTCCCATCCTGCCTTTCTTCCTCCCTCCCATCTGTTTCCAGCTAAGGAATGCTTTTGGGACCTCTGCTTCTAGATTTTCTCACCTGGCTTCTCTCTTCTTTGCAGTTGGTGAATCAATGTGCTCATCTTTAATATTTCTTGCTGTCAATAGCTGCTTTTCCAAGAGGCCCTCAGATGCCCATTTCAGAACTACGTCAGGTTTTCACACTAAACTGGCTTTTTACTGGGCCACCCTGCTCTGAAGGTGTTGCCATGTGCTGCCTGTTCCACCACAGGGAATGCTTTGGTCCCCACCTCATTCCTGCCTGGTGTCACTCCTGGCTTTCCATCCACACTTCAGCCTTCCCCTCCCAAAAACCAGTGCTGTGCCCCTGAGGAAACACAGCCTTTCCAGCAAAAGCCTCCAAACCCCTCCTGTGAATGTATTTGCAGGAGGATCACAAGTGGTTCTTGTGGTGAAGAAATCCAATCTGCCTTAAATTGCCTTAGGAAGGAAGGAAGGAGCAAAGCAGGCAGGTCTCCAGAGTTTTGACAGCTTTGCAGTAGCCCAAAATCTTCCTCTTATCTCTGTAACAATTGTAAAAATGACACTGGTAAGCCAAATGACATTTGGCAAACTAAATGTATTTATTTTCAGTATGGATAAGTGTGTTTTTCATAACCTTCTTTTCAGAAGCAGCTAAACTATCTGGTCTGACACTTCCGTCCACCACAAGTGCTTGCTTGCAGCAATACTCACATGGAGAATTCGGCCCCAACAGCTGTCATTTAGCAAGTACATTGCCTTGGGAATGCACTCAGAGTGTCAGGCAGCCTTGCCAAGCATCGATATTGCCAGGCCAGCCCAGAATACACATTTTGAATAGCTGGGACAGCTTGTCTTCGTACACACCGATGGCTGCAGATAAAGCAGGAGACTGCACAGGGAGAAAAGGAGTGTCCCATACAAACATCTGGAGGCGGGGTGGACGCCAGGGACTCTAGACCTTAATAAATTATTTTTTTTTCCTTCTTAGGCATATGTCACGTATAGAGAAAAGTTACAATGGGTTTTCATTTAGGAAAATGGATGTCCTTTAACCACTTTACAAGGGAAGAAAAAAGAAAAAATAATAAACTTTTTCTCCAGTGGTTGATTGGTATACAGCTGTGATCAGTGGAAGCTCTAATGCTTTTGAGCTGGTGGGGATGTCACCAGAGAATCTGGTATCACACTGAGGTGTATCTGTGTGTGCACACACGTCGTGAAGCAGACACTTAACATTAACAGGATAAGAATATTTAGATAACTTAAGTTTGAAAACAGAAGATATGGCTCTTGCCTTGTAGAGAACCTTTTAACTTTCTTTTGTTTACTTTTTTCACTCAGATTTGGCACAGCCATGCTCTACTTGGCAGGCAAGTGTAAGAATTCTGCGTTTAGAGGATAGTAGAGAAAAAAAAAATCACTTGTACATGTGTGAGGTTTTCACACACTATGAACTGGTCAGCATTTCCTCTACCACCACAGACCACCTCCTCTTTGTGCATGTCTGTCCTTGCATGTCCCTGCTGAGACAAGGATTTTAACAAAGTTCATAAAAATCTCTGGGTTTGGGATCAACAATTCCCAAGATAAAGGGCACCCCTGCAGTGTGCCTGACTGCCTGCATGCCCTGGGATCAACCTGTACCCGACTGCAGCCTCTCCTGGGAGTGCTAGAATTCCCCAACTAGCACTTGTAAAGTTGGAGCAGCAGAGCTGCTAGCATTTTTAGCTTCCTAGAACATTTTCATGCCATCCAAAGTCACTGTATTCTGGTGATCAAAGTCCAGCAGGTGAGGATAAAAATAAACATGATTCACAAACAGTGTTATTCCTCTTACCAAACTACTCTGACTGTTCAGGAGGGTAATGGCTACAGTACTGTCAACAGACCCCACAAATGCAACACTGACCTTTCATTTCCTAGCTGTGGAAACTGTGCTTTGGCATTACTCAGGCCAGAAGAAAATTGTATAGACTTTATTGGTCATGCTTTCTCAAATATATTATTAGCATACCTTCTTCTAAAAAGTCTGTCGTTGTCTTTACATAAACATATATTTAATGAATGTCTGCAGTAATAATAATAATAATAATAATAATACATATTTGCTAGAGTAATAATTCATGAGGAAGTAATAGATTTGCACTTGCCTATACAAACACTATTTTCCCATGTTGTACACAGGCACTAAGATATGTATTATCACTAGGGTTTCTTGCAGTTTGTGTCTATCCCTCTCTGTAACACAAAAACCTCATTTATCCAGTCCAAATACACTTCCAATCTGCCCTTTGCATGCTTTCTCAAAATTGACATTACATGAAGAGAGGAAATGTGGCATCTCAACTTTGTGTAGAACTTTAGATTTTAAAAATATGCTCCTTCACGTAAGGAAGTTAATGAATAAGGCAAATGGAAGTATCAAAATATTTACCTAGTTAAAAATTGATGCAGAGACGACTAGTCCTTTATTAAGTTCTATTTGTCTGTTGCTTTTACAGGAAACTCTCTTTTTAACTTTGCTCAGTGTTTTCCAATAGTATTAAAAGTAGTATCCAGGTATCAAAATTGAGACCATTTAATATTTTCCTATTTAATACTATATTAGTTTTCAGCAGCAATCATTTTTTGCCATATTGCTCTATATATGAAAAGAACTATCACAAGCATATGTGGAGAGTTGATACAATCTGATAATGGCTTATTTTTTCCCTTTGAATTTCATCACATTAGCCTTTCGGTATAAAAATCTATAAAACACAATAAGCTGCAGGATACCAATACACTTGTTTCTCAGGTATTTTCCCCTTCATCCTTTTCCATTTTCCTATAAATTCACTTCTGTGCAGCTGGAAAAGTGCAGTATTTAGTAAATAGAACACCACAAAGGCCAATATGTCAATAAAACTATTTAGAACAGGAAACTAATGACAAAACTATCACTAATGACCACTTTGAGAGCTGAGCAGCACCATGTTAGTACCATAGTAACTGAGTTTAGAAACAGTGCATTAGTTTCAGTTGTGCATTTAGTTAAACTCTGGGGTTTTTTAAGAATTTTTGTAAACTTTGTGGTTTTCTAATCACTTGGCTGCTTTCAGGCAAATTTGACAAGGAAGAAAACCTTAATACAGCACTAAGTTTCATATCTCTCATGAAAAGCTCCACTAAGTAAAAAAAAAAAAAAAAAAAAAAAAAAAAAGGTCAATGCCTCCCTGCAGTGTGGGAAACCATTAATTTTATAACTCTCAAAAAAACCCCCCCCAAAAAAAAAAAAAAAAAAAAAAAAAAGGAAAAGTGTCTGAATGCCTCCCTGCAGTGTGGGAAAAGCAGGGAGAAGATGATGTTCAAACAAACCGATTGGGACAAGGTCCAGGCCACACAGCAGCTACAGACCAGCCTGTCCAGTCAAGTCTGCACACGTGCAGCTCCAGCCCAGCACAGCTCACAACACCTCTTTCCATCCCACAGGCCAGAAACGTGGTGAGAAATGGGGAGGGAGGAGAGAGAATAATGGCATTAGAATATGGGGGAGAAGAAAGAAATGGTGAGAATACCATATTGCAGACATTTAAGGAAGTAGAGGAGATGGAGACTGAAGCATTGGGGAACACAGTAACACACACAGCTCACCACAAGACCACCTTACTGAAAACTTGGCTTTATTTGGTTAACAGGTTACAGAATTGTACAAAATTCATCACACCTCAGCAGATTGCCTGCATACCTGGGGAGAAAGGGAATGGCACAGATCAGCAGAGGGAGAGCCTGCCCTGCAGAAGTTATCATTGACAAAGCTGCCTGAAAAGGCTGCAAAACATTCCAGTAAATTCCCCACTTCAGGATTTTTGTGCAATACCATGCATACATGTGAGGTGCCACCCTGCTGAAAGGCAGAAGGGATTCTGGTGAGCTGTGACAGTGGAGGTGACACCACCACAGCTCAGCAAGGTCCCTGTGATATCTAGCAGGCACACTGATGGGGCAAGCTTCACATTTAATCTCATGGACAGTACATAAAATATCCTCCCAGTTAGCTTATCCTACTTTTCCTGTTTTAGCCAGGGTGGGTCAGAACATGCACCACATCACTAACAAGGTTTGTCATTCAGTTCCTTATCTTGCATCTCATTATTTCTTTGGCAACAGGAGTTACAGCATTTCCTTTATAAATCAGATATGCTGGAGGGATTGCTAGCCAACATCCATGGCACAGGTTACTGACAGCCAAAGCAAGCTCTCATGTCCTGGGAGGCTGGGAGCCTATGGAAGTCTGGCCACAGCTATGGCAGAGATCAGGAATAACAGCACAAACAGCTCCTTGCTGTGCAGCTGCTTTGCCACAGACAAAATCACAGGAAATGGGGTAAACTGCTCTCCCCCAGCTCCACCATCAGATGCCAGGCCTGCCCACCCCCAAACATGCACCAGAGATGTCCTAGGTTAGAGGCTAATTTTGAATACCTACATGGCATTGGGAAGATCAGTCTGAATTCCTGAAATGACTGCATTCTTAGCCTGTTGATTTGTTCAAACAACAATCTGTGTATTACCATTTCACTCTCGTTGAATACTTTTCACAGCTTTAAGAAAAAAGAGCATGCTATTGAAATACTAGATGGCTAATAAAAACTGCTAATTGGAGTTCTAGAATATTTTCAACTATGCTGAGGTTCCTTGCTTGAAGGAATCAAACTACAAATTTGTAAGCACAATAACTTAGCAGATTCTCATTTCACCACGGAAGAATTAGAAGCCTGTTTCAAAGTTTTATTAATTCAAGTCATAAAAAAGTTACAGCATCTTCAAATATGTACAAACTGCCATAAAAACGTTGTGTTCAGTTACACAGGAGACAGTCTCGTTACAACATGGCTACAAAATCATTACTTTCAATAAAACTCCCACAAGGGTAAAATAACCATTCAGGCATGTATGCTCCACAACCCTAGTAACAGCAGTTGTCAACTCGTTTCATCATCATAAAAAAAAAAAAAAATCAGGGAGCAATAGTTAAGTTTTACTTGAGTAAGACGGGGCATTTAACTCTCAACAAATAGTAAAAGTAGTTGAATAGTTACCGGTCTTGGCTGTTAAGAGTTTTAACAATCATTAAGTGAGAACAATTGCCTCCCTTTCAGGAGGAAATTAAGAGTTAAGATTCATGCCTCCAATGTTTTTGTTGTCTTCTAGCTTGAATCTGGCTTGTCTTCAGTTGATTTAGTTAGGCATTCAGCCCTCTATGCATTTCGTTCATTTCCTTCACCTGGAGGGGAGGAGGTAGAGGAGATCAACGTCTGTGCTACTTCTGAACTTTAAAACTCAGTAAGTCATGGGACTTAACAGCCCAGATTTTCATTAGCAAATGGATTTGATGCAACACTAACAGAACCAACCATGAAAAACCCACCAGATTAAAAAAAAAAAAGAAACAAAAACCCCAACAAACAAACAAAAAACACCCACAAAAAAAGATAAAAAGCACTACTTAGGGCACATGCAGGAAGCAGACAATACTGTTTAGCTGCCACACAGCATTGTTTGGATTCCTCCACAAAAGGCCCCACACTTGGGTGAAGCACCATTTGCTATTCCATTGGAAAGCAGCTTCTCAATGGAAACTGTGAGATCCATGCAAATACCTCAGTAAAGGTCTTGTCACAGAACAAGACTATCAGCGCTTCCTGTGGATTGCACAGCCCTTTGCTATACATATGTAAAACAGAACTCGCAGTAAAACCGAACCCCACCCCCTCAGCCCCGGGAAAAGCAGATCACCTTTGAAACTAGCCCAGAACTACACAGAGGTGAAAACTAGCTGCAGAATTTGAATATTTTCAGTCTCCTTGAACACATCTGAAGCACCCAAAGCGAGCTTTTAACCTACAGCAAACTAAAGTTTCTGGATTGTGGTCAACCTCCTCCCCACACATGTACGAGGAACAGAAATTAATTACCTCAGCTTTCACGTACTTCCCTTTCCTCCTCCTTGTCAGGACCTGTAACAGAAGAACACAATATTTTTTAAGTCTTGATACACAAGTAACTACATCCGGTTTTGACTTTAAAAGCACAAACTCGGAGCTGCCTGTCCCCCATCCTTCCAATGTGAGGTAGGTACAAAGGAGGTTGTTTGTCACTCTCAACTACTTGAAACCAGGAAGCACTTTGTTCACCTCTGTGCATTGTTCCCAGTACTTGTTTTCCGGGTGACACCCTTCAGCTGTAACCTGAAACAGTGTGCCCATCACCAATTTCCCACCTCCCACGTCTGAAGAAGCAAGCCAGTTCACAAGGGCAGACTTTCCATCAGAATCCAAACACGTGTGCTGTTACATCCCAAACTGTTACCAGTACCACTGTGCTTGGCAGCTTTGTTAGAACTTACCAGGACAACAATTGCAGCCACTATTGCCACTACTACCACCACAATGACAGCAATGAGGCCGGGAGTCAGAGACTTCATGGAAAACTCCGGTGCTATTTCATCGATGTAGTAGACCACTGTCTTCTCAAGCTTCACCGGCTCGTTGTCAATGCTGACGTTTAGCCCAGCACTATTATGAAAGATGGACTGACCTTTCACCTAAAGCAGATAGGGAAAGACAGACTTGCTCATTCACATTGTAGTAAGGCATTTATCTCGTCACAGGTATAATTCACCTGGCTTTAGCCAGCACACAACCAAGACTCCAAGAGTGCAGTGCAAGACACACACCCAGCCTCTGGTAGACTTGACCCATGACACACTTACATCTTTCTCAAAGTAGTAGGCCACATCAGCTATATCCACATCTCCAACTAATTTTTCTGAGGAATTTTGCTTCAAATCAATAGTAATGTAAGGGTTTTCATACTGCAAAAAAAAAAAAATATATAACATGGTATTAAAAAAAGAGATACTTTAAATCCAGCTGTTTTTCTGAGGAATTTTGCTTCAAATCAATAGTAATGTAAGGTTTTTCATACTGAAAAAAAAAATATAACATGGTATTAAGAAAGAGATACTTTAAATCCAGCTATCGAATATTCACCAAAACATTATGATCCAGTTTATGGTTCTTGAACTCAAGCCAGCTGTTTACAGTAGGATTCAAACTCCACTTCACTTCTAATGAAGCAAAGAAGTTATCTACAGACTAAGGAGAGCACTGTCGTTTCTCAGCTTTTCTGTCCAGATACAGCTATTGGCTAACTGCTCACCATTTTGAGAGCTTCTACTAGAACTCATGGTGTACTACATTAGTCAAACACGAATTTTTAAAGTGATTCACAACGAAATGAAGTTCTGATACTTGACTAAACTTTGTGTGCCCCTTACCAGAACACTGGTTATGTAGCGGCCATCCAGCTGGTAACGACTGGTAATGGTATCCATGAAAAACCTGCAAGGATACAAAAGCCATGGCTGTAAAAATAGTACTGTTTCACATATATCCTTTGACAAGTAGAGAAGACTAGTGTAATTGTTTTCTTCCGCAGTCTCTGTGGTGGGTGGAGCTCAGCTAGCAGCTAAACCCTCACGTATTCTTTCATTCACTTCCCCCTAGTAGGATTGGGAAAATAATCAGAAGGGCAAAAGCAAGGGGAAAAAAACAAAACAACCCTCATTGATTAAAATAAAGAGTCTGGGAAGTGAAAGGGCTGGGTGGGGGAAATTCAAAACCTCAAGTGATGTAAAAGCAATCAGTCATCACTGACAGATCAAGGTCCAGCAAGCCTCTGAGCAGTGGCTACTTGGGAAAAGACTTTCGCCCAGATTTATTGCTGAACATGGCATTATATGATATAGGCTATCTGTTCAGTCAATTCAGGTCAGCCCTGTCCCCCTCCCAGCCTCTTGCCCATCCCCAGCCTATTCACTGGGACAGCAGAGTGAGAGTCTGAGAAGGCCTTGACACTCTGTAAGTGCTGCTCAGCAGCAGCTAAAACACTGGTGAATTAATCAACACCATTTTGGTCACTGGCCTAAAACACAGCACCACTCCAAGAAAATTAACTCTGCCCAAACCAAACCCAGTGCACTCTCTTCATACTAGAGTTCAATTAACTCCTAACAGGGAAGATGCACTTACTGTAAAATAAACACCTGTGTTAGACAAAAGAGCTTTACAGTTTAAAGAGTTCAGAAGAAGAGCTAGAGGGCAGCAGCTATTGCTCCGGAAAGGAGGTGATCTAATAGCTGCAAGTGGGGTTTTAACAAAATTTAAAAAAGGGCTAAATTCTCGTTTTCGTCCTGCTGCTTCTATGTAGTTATTCTGCCATTTTTGTCAGTTTCATCCATTTGAACAGTTTCATCCATTACCTTCCATTTCTTTTAGTATATTGATTTGAGTGGGGGAAAAACTAGCAATCAATTTTAAATGGAAGGGAATTGCTTTAGCAGTTAATTTGTTTCAAATACAAATTAAAGCAATTCTATGAAGAATCTGCAGCTTGCTTCTAAAATGTCTTGCAAGTGAGTTCACAGGTCTGACAGTGCTTTTAGCAACTGTTTAGAAATACACTAGATATCTACTATCATCACTTACTTCTTTAAAGATTCAGCGTTCAGAGGAGCATTTCTCTCAGCATGTTTCATTTCAATGATGATCCACCTGAAGTACAATGAATATTCTTGAAGTACATGCATATAAAATATAACAAAAGTATCTAACCCCAGGCTAAAAAAACAGAACAATGACACAAAAACCAAGGCACGCAAAGTCTCTTCCAAACCCACCCAATATCTCCTTGTTTCTGAAGAAAAAAACCAGCCAAGTAACCAAGTGTTGATTGCTCCATCTTCATTCATCCCCAGTGCATCACTCACACAAGGCATAGCCTCACACAGGAATGTTTTCATGCCACAGCACACCCTGTTGAAAGACTTACATCGTTCTGACTAACTGATTGCACTTCAAGTCTGCGTCGTGTTTGTCAGTTCTCCTAACTCCAGCCGTATTCACACACCAACAGGTCGTTCCATTGCACTGCTTCGCCTTGAAAGCGCCGCTGTTTTCACAGTCAGGATCGTAGAGACCGTCGGTATCTTCAATCGCATCTTTTGGCTTCTCACGACGGCCCGATTTGGAGCCCATCACTTCTGCTTTCATCAGCAGGCATTTTGAAGTCACTAAAAATAACCAGAAAGCCGCGTTATGCCTCGCCAGAGCACGCAAGTCCAAACCAGAGCCCCGAGTCCGTACAAACACCGGGTTACGCCAGCGGCAGCCACATTCGAAGCCATTACACCGAAGAGCAGATGGCTAATGTGTAGGTGGAGCACAAAATCAATACAACTGGGATATGTCAGCCTCTCAAGGCAAAGGCCTAACAAGGCCAGCCTTAGGATTTACAGTGTCCATTTCTCACGGCTGAGCTTGAGCCCAGAGCGAGGTCTTGTCACAAGGCTCTGTCCCCTCTAGATTTGCAGGAAAAGTGAGGATATGAACTCATAAGGAAGCTAAACGTTCATCTTCAAGAAATTCTTGCCACTGGAGAACAAATACTGAGGAGGAGGCGTGAGCCTACATCAGTACAAGCAGAGAAACCCTGAACGCTTATCTTCCAACACCAGTTGACCTGGAAGACCAGGAAGAAGAACTCCTTCCTTGCCTCCATTGTTTGCTGGGAACTCAGCGGTCATTCCCGCATATTCCCGGGCGCTCTGCGGGCTCGTTTCCGTGCCACCCCCCCGGCCGTGCCCTTTTACTCACGGGTGGAGCAGTCCACGGTGACTCCGGAGCCGATGGCTTCGCAGCGACACTGGCCGCTGCCGTCCGTCCTGCAGTTGGTGACACGCTTGTTCTTCTCGCAGGCGCACGCTGCAAGGGAAGCGCGGCCGTGAGGGGCCCGGCCACCCGACGGGAGGACAAAGCCGCCCCGGGCCGGCCGGGCGTGGCGTGCCCGCACCCCCCGCGTCCCCCCGGCCGCCCTCCCTCCCTCCTTCCCTCCCTTCCCGAGCGCCGGGCGCTCCTCGGGGCGCGGACACAGGGGCGCTCCTGCCCGGCCAAGGGGGAATGGTGTGGCCATGTGGCGGCACAGGGCGCCCAGCCCTCCGGAGAGCGGGGCCGGGAGGGGGTCCCGGGGCGGGGAGCGGGCACTCACGGCTCTGGGCACTGGCGGCAGGGCAGAGCAGCAGCAGCAGGAGCGCAGCCCCGCAGAGCGGCTTCATGGCTGGGGCGGGCGGCGGAGAGGCCGGGGAAAGTCCTGGGGGCCGCGGGCGCAGGGGGAGCGGTGCGTGCGCGGCGGCGGCGGCGGAGCGCTGTGAGCCGCCCGACAGGTTCCGCAGGTGCTGGTGGCTGCGCCGCGCCCTCCCGGCTCCGGTTACACCTGGGACGCGCGGGGGGAGCGGCGGCGGCGGCGGCTCCTCCCCCGGGCCCGCCGGGCGCGCTCTTAAACCACGGCCGCCCCCTCCTCCCGCCGCACCTGGGCGAAACTGGATGGGGCAGGGCGGGACTCACTCCCGGCCCGGCCCTACAGCGCCTCTCCTGCGGAATGGGACGGGGGAGCGGCGGTGCGAGGGACGTCCCGAGGCGCGGCCGTGCCCGCTTTTTACCCGCGCTGTGAAACCGCCCCGCCCGGGCCGGGGCCGTGCCGGGGAGCCGGGGTACAGCGGCCCCCGCCGTCCAGGGGAAAGTGTTACTCATCGCCGGGAGCTCCGGGCGTGTTCGTCCTGTGACACACGGGCAGGGCAGCAGAGCCCGCGGCTCTCCCGGCCCGGGGCTTCCCGCGCCCGCCGCTGACCTTCGGAGCCCCGGGGCGCTCCCCGGGTCTCTGCCCTGGCCTGGTGGCCCCGGGCTCTTCCCCCGGCGGGTGTTTCCACTCCCTTCTCGGCGAGGGGAATTACCCGCACTTCATAGTGAGCTTTGTTCGCATCCGGGGTGCCGTGTGAAATACTCCCTGCTTGGCATAAATTCTGATAATTCCTCAGTAAATTAAAAACCAGAATGCTTATCTATATAGGATGAACACTTTCCTAAGGCTCTTCACTGATCGTGCGTTTAGTTTTTATTTTCAGTTTTGGTTCCTTTCTAGAATACATAGTAGGTGTACCTACCTCAATGTTGCTCTAAAGATTCACTTCTGGTACTGCATTTCCTCAGTCCTGAGTGCTTTGTCTCTGAGCAGCGCAGCTTTGCGGGAGCCTACAAAATGGGAGGTAGTGCCAGAGCCCTGCCAGGTTGCTGAGGAGGAAGCACGGGAAAGCTGGCTGCAGGCTTTAAGATGGCTTTCCAAAGTGTAAAAGCAATGTCAAAATGGAAGACAAAAGATAGGTATGGCACACTGGAAATGCTTTATGAACCTTGAGTTTATTTATTCAGTTAAAAAATATGCATAGATCTTTCTAAAAGATACATTAGCACCCTAGAAAAACAAGTTATTTTAGTACAGGATAAAACCAGAATGAGATTCTGCCCAAAGACTTAAAGCTTCTTCTTACCAGTTCACTGTACAATAAAAATATGTTTCTGCTTTTGCATGTGCAGACATCAGTAAGTGAAACTGTTTGAAAACTCTGCTTGAGTGAAGTGAAACTGCCAGTGAGCTATTTTAGTGTTCTTGTCTCTGTGTGCAGCTGTGTTTGTGTAGTACCTGGTTTTGTGTGCTGTTTTTGTCTCCAGTGCCCTGCTGCTGTCTGAGATGGGTCCAAGTTAAAGGAGTGCTCTTTGGATTTGCTCCTGGTACAGCCCGAATCAGAGTTTTGCAGCATTTGTCGTGATTCTTTGTGTGGGTTTGTGTGGTTTCTGATTGATAAGTATATTCTTCTGATACACTTGTCAAAAACTCAAATGGAAAACTTGGCCTAGCAATATGAAGACTTGGCAAGACTAAAGTCTCAGATATGGACTTCTTGTATGGCTTTCATCAAGTGATGGCATTTTCCAGGAAGATAAGTAGGATCAATAAGCTCAGAAATGCCTGCCTTACTATAAACCTCTTATTCCATGTTAAAGTACTGTTTTTGTCAAGAGGAGAAGAGCTGTCTTGTCATTGTGGAATTGTCAAGCTGACCTACGTAAGCCTTGATAAAAAGGACCAATAAACTTTATTATAGGCTTTTTTTTTTTTTTTTAATACGGAAATGTTGAAGAACAGAACAGGCTGGGTACAGCTAGTCCTCTTTCGTCTCCTGATCCTTGTTCTGTGTAGGTAAACCTCTGGGCCTAGTTTTACAAATCCAAGCAGTCTTCAAGTCTTGGATGGCTACTACTGAAAGTTGCCTTGCTTCTTTCTACAAGCACCTTCAAATACCACACAGGCATGTTTTTATCAGAAAACAGCTACAACCTTTTGTATCTAGGGCTGAATGGTGTTGGGGTATTTGTGTGGTCTAGAGCCTCTCACAGTGTGTTGCGGCACTGTTATGTTGCGACATGTAGCAAAACATGAGTTAGCACCTGTAGAAAGTACTTTGATAACTCTGCTACAAACACAGGGGCATCACGCAGCTTTTTGTAGTATAACACTTAATTTGGCTCCAGTTTGCAGGGGCTAATAAGGACCTCGCTACCTGTGGTCTCACCAGACCTCCAGATGTGAAGAAACGATAGTTTAAATGTTGCTCAGTATTTTTGAAGGAAAGTTGCTCTACATGAGGTCACTCACCAGCAAGGCAATGGAAAGGAGGGACCATTCACAGCAGAGTTCATCTTACCCTCTTCCCAGGTTATTTTGGGGGCAGCTTCTCAGTAGAATCAAAGCCACTGGAGCAGACATGAGGCTAAACAGGTACAAGGGCCTGAGTGTTGAAGTTTATTGCACAGGTACCTTGGTGTTCTGGGGGGTTGGGAGCCAGTGTCATTTTTGTATCTTTTGTGGTGCTTGTATCTCTTTGTGCTGAAATACGTGACCATATTCAATAGCTATTCTATATTAACTTTCCTCAGCACACCGCTCTAAAGGTAAGGCCTTGCATATTGGTTATAAACAGGATAATTTTATCAACTGTTGGAGATACCTCCTCTTATCAAATAGCTGACTGCTGATTAGGCATTGCAGTGTAGGCTCATTGTGGTTTACTCTTACTAAAGCATAATTACAGCTCAGACAAATTATAATTTAAATGCTACGAGCACATTACTGACTCTACTATATAGCAAAAAGAAAAAATGTTTTGGTCACTAAACTCTACATACACAAAGTATGTACGCTTGCATTAGGAGAACTCATGTAATCTGTATTTTTCTACTTTTGCTCTGTAATTTACATAGGATCCCATCTGTTTGGAGAATAAAGTATTAGTTCACTAAAATACTCAAGAGGCATTGACTTTAGGGGGAGATTTTCTATTGACTTGAGTGAATTTTGAATCAGATCCAAGGAAATAAATCCAGCTCTTTCTGAAGCCAGCAGGAATTAGTGTGATACTGGGCTATGAGGTGAGGTCACTTCCAGGTCTTCACTAGAAATTAGGTAAGTGGGCTTTGTGAAACTCCCCAGGCACAGAAAAGCGACAGAATCTCCTTTCAGGGAAAGTCGAAAGGGTGTGTGAGTCACTCCTGAAGCATCAGGAAACGATGCAAGGTGGGGCTGTGACATGCACCGCGATCAGCAGATCCCAGAGATGAGTGGACAGAGAGTGATCAATGCCACTGGGGTGTTTGGCAATCTCGGTCTGAGGTTCTTCAGAGGCTGCAAACCTGATTGGTTTTGGGTGTACCCTCCTAAAGATAACCAGTCTCATCCCTAGAAAATAGGCCATGTATGACACCAAACTGGGAAGCATAATCTTGTTAGTCTTTTTCTAACAAAATTAATGGCTTTTGAAAATTCATTGCTTTTAACTGGTTAAGGCTGACAAAGACAGAAACAACCAGAAACACTGATGCTCAAAAGTGCCAACAGATATTGTGAACAGCAGATATTGCTACATATGTCATTATATTACAGACTTGCTTAGGAACTTTTTATTAGGACAGCTTCAGAATGTTTGCATTCAAGTTTTTTTTGTCAGTCTTCATCATCTGCATAGAATGAAACCTTGAAAGAACTGTAGGAAGAGGACAATATTGAGAAATTTTGTACAGTACCTTGTTTATTGTGTGTTTCTGAAGATTCTGTGTTGTCACAAATTGATACATGCTGCTGCTCAAAGGACTGTAATAAAACTGGCTTCTATTGCTATTTTATTTTTCCTGCCTGTTTGAAAACCACTAGAAAACAGGTAAGTCTTGTTACACTGATTTGAATAATGAGAAAATTTGGAGTCCTAGAGAACTTAAATGTCTTGCCCATATGGAGGTGGTCAAGTATAGACCCAAGAAAAATAAAAAAATAAAATAAATGAGCTGTCATGCCTTTCTGTTAGACTGTCTAACTACTTCTAAACACTGTAAAAAAAAAAAAAAACACAGAAAAAAAAGAAGCTATTTTACATATTTGGGTCTTTTTGGTCAGTTTCTAGACCATGATTTATTTTTTTAATAATAGCACAGTGTTTGTGCATTTTTGTTGGCGGCTGCACATTTTGACAAGACTGTCATGCATGTTGAGGATGGAAATTAGTTCAGAGGCAGTGGCAACCCTGACAAAGCTGTCCTCAGCTTCAGAAGCCCACAGCTTGGGTCTCTACCAGGCTGGAGACCTTCGAAAGTAAGAGTAGCTGCTAAGAGGTACAGGGCTGTTGGTTCAGAGGTTCACAAAACTAGACAGGGTGTAGCCACAGGAGAGAAATGCTCGTGCAATTAATGTATGTTCTATTTGTGTCTTTGAGGATTATAGAAACCAACCTGTCTGATACGTTGTGGCATCCTCACCTCTCTGCCAGGGCTTAGTTTTAACTCCAGAGGGTGGGGCCAGTAACAGGTTTGTCACCCTCATCTTTAAGTACCTGAAAATGCATTTCCATGGCTCTAATACTGACAGCATTTTCAGAACATCTTTTGTCAGCATTTGAAACGGCTTAAAATAAACTGCATTAGAGGCAAAACCTGTAATAATTCCTCATCCAGACTACTGCACAGCAGCAAGGCAAACCTTCTAATTTCATACTGTGCCCAATCCCTCAAGTTTGTAGTGTTTGGAAAGGGCTCAGGGGAAAACACGAGATCCCAAGCTGTAGTAAAAGAATCTCTGTTTGCATTAAAATTATTTCAGTTTTGGCATCTAAGATACTTTTATTTTTTCCCCGCTCTTTTAGCTATTCTCTGTGAAAGAAGATGCAGGCGAAACTTTGTCAAAACACTTGTTGAAAAGTAAGATAGTCCTAAGCAGTTTTTACCATGCTCTGTTGCATGACAACATCTGTGGGCTGTAGGCAGAGCTGAAGCAGATGTTTACACAGACAGCTGTCCTGTCCCTCAGGCTGGTGTTATCAGAAGGTATATTGAGTACTGCTGTCATAAAACCTGCCATTGAATTTGCTTCTGCTGGACCTGTGCAGGTTGCCATGGGGCTAGCGAGGGCATGGACAT